AATTGGTTCACGTGCAAGAGAAACTTCCCAAGGGGAAGAAGGTAAATAATAATCAAATCCTAAATCATGATCATAGAGAGGGGATGGCATGTAAAAAGGTGGCACACCCGAGGAAATTGACATATCAACACTACTACCAATAACATTTGTTACAAGCCTCCCACCTGACCAAATTTCCTTTGATAGGTCATAAGACATATGGCCGGGGAGAGAATCCGGATAATCTTGAGTCGCTTGGTCGTTCATAACACATGCACAACTCAACTCAAGATGACCCGAAGGATGGTCTAATGTACATATATACAAAAGCACAACAGGCGTACCTCTAAGCCTAAACATCATCAATAGCGAAGCCGAGGAACATTCAAGCATACAAAGGAAAATAGCAAACAATTACTAAACAAGAAGATATGATACTAAGAGTTTAAAAAACTAAGTATTGGAGACTCACCAAGTGGTCAAAGATGCCGAAAAGGATTCCTTGAGACAAAGAAAGTGCACCTCGAGGCAAAACTCCTACAATGACAAAATTTCAAGTGTGAAAAATAAAACAAACAAGGTTTAGCTCTCGCCCAACTAGACCGGGCCTTCAACTACAAAAAACAAAATATGTTGTTAAAGGATTGGTTAGCAGATTTGAAGCCTAGCCCTCAGATTTCTATGACCAAAAGAAAACTCTCAAAATTAAAAACACCCCTGGCCCGGGTTCTCAGCTCCAACTTGTTGTTCTAATATACATACAAAATATGTCGAGTGCTCGGTAACTAAATCTCTCAACATATTGACTCGACATACCCGGTCAGACACTCATCCCTACCTCTCGGCATTTTTTTTAAAAAAAAAACAAAAAACAAAATAAATTTTAGCCAAGCTCTCAGCCTGGTAAAGAAGAGAACGAAAAATTGAACTCAAAACCCCAAGACATAGATCTGGGCGTGAGGTTAAACCCTTCGACATATCAAGGCCCTTTCAGCATATCAAGGCCTTCGGCCTGCAATCCCCAAGCCCTCGGCATATCTCTTCGCCAGGCCCAATATTGGCCGAGCTTTCCTCACGAACAGACAAACCCTCGACCCATGCATCACTAACCCTCTCGGCCTGACACACCCCTCTATCTCACTAACCCTTTGGATTTGGCCAGGGAAAGCCCTCGGCACCTCGCTTGGGCCCCTCGTATGACGCCACATGACCAGTGTCAAGTCTGGGCGCTCAGCATCTAGGACACATCGGCATGGCTGAGGCTCTTGGACAGGCCAAGCACCCTGAGGCCCTGGACCATACCAACCCCTTCGGCATTCTCAACACAAAAAAAAAAAATAATCTTTTGAAAGTAAGGCCGAGCGCCCAGCGGAGCCCATCTCTTGACCTGAAGCGCGGAACAAACTCGAGCACGCCGAGCGCTTGGTAGTTATCCCGCATCTCCACACCAGCAACCCCTTCGGCAGTTAGGCCGAGCGCTCAGCTCACCTTTCTATCGGCGGAACTAGGCCTGCTAGGCCCTTGGCACTTCTAATTAGGGGTGAAACTAATTCGGTTTAAAACCAAACCGAATTAGAAATACGATGCGGTTTTTTTCCTAAAGTGGTTCGGTGTGGTTTTAAAAAAAAAAATCAGTTTTCAGTTTGAGGAATTGAAAAACCGAAACCAAACCAAAATTTTGGCCCAAACCTCAAATACACCCTAGCCCAACTCTAGTTTTAGCCTAAGTATATATAAAGTTAAAAAAAAAAAACCTAATCTAAATTCCTCCTCTCAGCCTCTCACTCTCTGACTCTCAATCTCCCTCTCTCACACTCTACTCACTTCCTGACTCCACCGACGACCGTCCACCGACAATTTTGCTGTTGTTCTGCACTTTTGCGACTGCTGCTAACTACTTGCATGCTGCTACTAATTGCGTGGAGTGCGTGCTCGGTCTATGCTACTGCTGGTTTGCTGTGTTTTTCAGTAGTAATGCTATTTTATTTTATTTTTTTTGGTGAAGTGTTGAATTTTCTGGCCAGTTTAAAGCCAAGGACTTGTAACTTTTAAGTTAAATCTTGTTTTATTATGTTTGTTTGGTTTGGTTTGGTTTGGTTTATGTTTGGTGTGGTTTGGTTCGGTTTATGTGTAATATTTTATGTTTTGATGCTTGAAGGGAAAATTCGGTGTGGTTTGGTTTTTTTTTTAAGAAAATCGAAATTTAGATGGTTTGGTTTGGTTCGATTTCAGAACTAATATGGTGCGGTGTGGTTTGCAAAATCCAAAAATAGAAATATTATGGTTTGGTTTCGGTTTTGGCAATAAACCAACCGAAACCGAACTTTCACACATACTTCTAATAGCCCTGACTGCTTGTGCCAAGCGCTCCCCATTATTAGCTATCATCACCCATGCCTTCGGCATCCCAGCAAATCAACATCCAACACTCAAGCTCTCGGTAAAACGCTGCTCCCTTAGCTACCTAGCCTAGCGCTCGGACTAAAAAAAAAAAAAAAAAAGAAAAGAAAAATTCGAGCAACCCACTAAATCTGAGGGCTGGGCTTGCCTTCGCCTAGCCTCCAGCTCACACAGCAAGCCTTCGACCCAACCAGATCCCCCCTCGGCCTTATGCTTGGATATTTGGTCAAGCGCTCGGCTATAAGTCCCACAATGCTCTCAGCTTACCGTCGCCCCCTTATCAGGCTTAGCTCTCAGATGATTTCTCAAAACAGCTCAACTATTGCAACTAAAACGCCTCTTATGCATTGCTTGGGGCTAGTATTCACCCTTGCAAGTCGCTTGGGGCTCGTTTTAGCCCTCAGGTATGAAGTCTGGATAATAGGTCATGGTTTACTATCTAGATCAAATTAACAATTTATGTTCCTAATCTTACTCTACCAAGTTTACACAAGATAGTGGCAAGCTAGGGTCGAATGCCACAAGGACTAAGTGTATTAATTTGAACTAATTAAACTAGTAGGAAGGATGTGAGGTAGAGAGAGGAACAACCAAAACACTACTTTAAACGGTCAACAAAATATAAGGGAAAGTGGAATCCATTTACATTAATGAATTCAACAATAAATTGCAATTAGATGATCATGATCTCAATTAGGAACGATCAACACTCTCAATTCACTCCCGCGCAATTAAGCATGTTAATTATCCTACTAAGCTTATTCACTCCCACGCAACTAGCCTAGCATAGGTATGGAAGAATCTAGACTATCAATCAACTCACTTCCGCACAATTGATTGAAAGCACTATTAGAAACCTAGAATCAATTAGCTAAAAAGACTCGAAGCAATGTAAGCATCATTCATACACAATAATCAAGAATCAATTGCATACTAATCACAATCAATCATTCAATTCATCAATCATAACCTTCATCCATTTCCCTAGAACAAAATCCAAGCAATTATAATGAAGAAAAACATGGAAATCAAGGTAAAACAAGAATTAAAGCAAGAATCAAACAAGTAATCTAATTATCTACTCTAATCAACAAAGAAATAAGCCAAAAACAACAATTAAAGAAAACAATAAAGGTGAGGGACAGTTAGAGAAGCTCATTGAATAATTGAGAAGAGAATCCACATAAAAGCTTCTTCAAGCTCTCAAATCTACATTGAAATCCCAAGCTTTCTCTCTCTAAAACTACTCCTAAACTCGAGAGAAAAACGCCTAATATGAGCCTAATTCTAAGTAGAGGAGAGAGAAAGTGTAAAAATCTCCTAAAAGAAGTCCCCCCAAAATAGGGTCGTACACTATTTATATTACAAGAAGAAAACGGAGAAAAATCGAAGATTAAATGCGAAGAAAACCCAGAACACCGCACCCGCGGTGGGGCATCTCCGGGGCATCTACAGGAAGCCATGAAAAACTGGAAAAACGCAGCACCGCGCCCGCGAGAAGAAAAGACGCGCTCGTGGTTGGCACAGCCGCGCCCGCGGTGGGCAGAAAGAAGTTGTTGCACCACGGCAGGGTTGACCGTGTCACGACATTCTGCTGGCGCTTGCTTGGTTCTTGTGTTGCTTGCTCTTGCTTGGTTCTTTGCTTCGTTTTGGCTTCAAGGCTTCTTCTTATGAAATTTTCGGCTTTCTCTCGAGTCATCAACATCAAGGAAAGTGCCAAGTACCAGACAAATAGACCAAGAGAGAAAGGAGTGAAAAATCACATAGAAAAGCACGCAAATCAAGTTAGAAACAGAGCAAAAAGCGCATTATTCACAACTACGGCCTATAAACGTAAACTAAGACTTTATTAACCAAAACAAAAATAAAAGAACCAAAAATAACCAAAAAAGACCAAAATAAACCTAAAACTAAGGGAGAAAACCACCCTAAAATGTGTCATAAATTACACTTATCAGGGTACACCTAAAAAGCTATTCCGGCGCACATGACAACTTCTCAACCTCAATTTCAATCATTCCGCGTGACATCCGAACTTCATGTGATCTCGTTCACATATCAAGTGTGGGGCTAAATGTTTGGGCCAAGTCCATTGTCCAAACCCCAGTAACCTGAAATGACGAAAAATACCCCTCCATGATCCAGCCCATCATTAGTCATGGCAAAGTACAGATTTACCCCTAATCTCACCACTCAAGTAGAACTTTGCCACCTGAAAAGTACAACTATAAATAGCTCATCATTCATTAATAATAGAGACTTTTTCCTAATTCTCTCTCCTTCTCTCTCTACTTTCTCTCTCTCTAGAAAGTACACTCGCTGGCTTAAGCATCGGAGGGGCTTTCCCGGATCACAACCCCGGGGCAACTAACCTTCTCTATTTTGCAGGCCTAGCTCTCGGACATACTTGTGCAAGGCTGAGCTCTCGAACATACCTTTGCTAGGCGGAGCCGAAGGACATTTGGACAATATTTGGACATAGTTTTTAGAAAATATTGATACCCTATCCTAACACTATGAGGAGCAATCTGTTTCCAGAAACAAAAGTTATTTCAACTTTCACATATAGGAATGGAGCTTTCGATAATTAGTTAAACTTTTAATTATTTGGTGAGAGGCTTGGGATCGATTTAATGTGGACAAACAATTTAAGTGAAAATAGGTTACCATTAAGGTGAACGGTACAAAACCTTAATGTGAAACAACAATTTAAGTAAAAAAAAAAAAACTCACAAATCACAATCTATTTAAGTACCTTGTTGTCATTTTCTCAATAAAATTCATGGCATTTGTTTTCTCTCACTAAGCAACTGCAAAACCGGTACCACCATCGACGGCGTTTAAGCAGCCGTTAATCAATCCCCATGTAAGTCACCTCATCTTTTCTTCATTTCGATTGTTGCTAATTGATAATTTGACTTTAATCTGTTCAGTTAAGAAATTTGCAAGTTATCAATTTTAATTTTAAAAAAGTAGCTAAGTCTAAATTAAATTGTAGAATGATAACTGTATGAAAATGCTGTATATGGTGTATCATGTCATTTATGATGATGAATTAAGGTAAAAAAAAAAAAAAAAGTAGTTTGAAATAAGGCTTTAGTTTAATGGTTGCTGTTTTTTGATGGTATGTTATATACTTATATGTATGTGTTTGGTGGTTTTAGGGAGCCAATTGGTAATAATTGATGTTAATGTATGTAATTAAAAAGCAATTAGACTTGTTAATTGCAAATTTTGGTTAAAACCCATGTCAAGCAATACCTTTGAGTTGAATCATATAAGTTTGTATTCACAGATACACTAATGTATGTATGGCTCCGTTTGAGGTTATTAATGGAAGGAGACATCGTAAGATTCGCACCCTATTGAAATGATATTATTACTATGGTGGTGATGTTTGTAGAGTTGATTTGGATTATATCCAAAAGTATGATTAAGACTAAGTATTACATCGAAATAGCTAACCGATGAAATAGGGGTCTTGAGAAAGATGAAGTGGGTGAATATGGAATTTTGGATAGAGTGGCTTGTAGAGCTTGTTGTACATTAGCCATAGGAAATTAGGACGTGTTGGAGCAGATTGATGAAGTGTCTGTTTCTTGTGGAAATTACATGTCTGTGCAAATGCACATAATCTGTATTTATCAGTATGGAATATGGTATGGTTTTGATTCTGTTCCTGGCACATCAAATTCATGTGTTTGTATTGGATCTGCATACAGTGTACTGATACAATGAACACGGGGAAAGACAATGGAACTGATCTATACGCTGCTGATCTTTCTTCCATCAAGGAAGCCCATGAGCGTATTAAGCCTGTCATTCACAATACGCCTGTCTTTTCCTCTGATACATTGAATGTGATGGCTGGTAGGAAGCTGCTCTTTAAATGCGAATGCTTTCAGAAGGGGTGAGGAGCTTTTATTAATTCGAGTATATTTATAATTTAAAATTTCAGATTCTAACCTACACAGTCTTCGGTTTGAATGTAGAGATTTGAGGCTTACATTAAGCTGGCAGAATGATCTAACGCTTCCGTCTCTATTTGTTGGTATATAACCCTAGAGGGGCTTTTAAATTCAGAGGTGCTTCAAATGCTGTACTTTCACTTGATAAGGAACAGGCTGCTAAAGGAGTGGTAACTCATAGCAGGTAAGTCCTTTGCCGCTCTTATTGATGCATTTGTGTTAGTATCTGTTGATTTGTTGTGTTAATATCACCTGACACTAATTTTTAGTGGCAACCATGCTGCTGCATTGTCCTTGGCTGCACAAATGCGGGGAATCCCTGCATATATAGTTGTTCCTAGTAATGCTCCAAAATGTAAAGTTAAGAATGTAGTCCGTTATGGAGGTGAGGTAATCTGGTGTGAGCCTACTTTCGAGTCAAGGCAAGTTACTGCTGATAAAGTACAGCAAGACACTGGTGCTGTTCTTATACATCCATATAATGACAGCCGCATTATAAGGTACTATCTTATTCCATCTTATTTAAAGTGTTTACTGTTTAGCTTTGGTTATTCATCCTTCCATTTTTCTGTGATAGATTATTGGGGTTGCTTAGCAACCTATGAATTCGAGATGGCAATTCTAACTAGGTTTGTTGCAGTGGGCAAGGGACGATATCACTTGAACTTTTGGAGCAATTCCCTGAAATAGACACCTTAATAGTACCAATAAGTGGTGAGATCTTGGATTTTTTAAAGTTTGCTTTTTTTTATTTATTTTTTTTTTAATTATTATTATTTTCATGCTTCTGGTTGAAAGTAATCTTAATCTCTAGCATTGGCCTACAAATTTCAAATTGGTTATTTGTAGGTGGGGGTCTAATATCAGGTGTGGCACTTGCTGCCAAATCCATCAATCCGTCCATTCGAGTTCTGGCTGCAGAGCCTGTTGGAGCCAATGACGCAGCTCTTTCAAAAGAAAAAGGCAAATTAATTACATTGCCTCAGACCAATACAATTGCTGATGGACTTAGAGCTTTCCTTGGGGACCTAACCTGGTAAAGGCAACTAGACAAGCTCATATCATGCTAACTTTGAATAAATGTAGAATTTTTATTTTAGTACTTTTAGCATGTTTATGTTTGGAAGATTTGAAGGTCATTTTTACTTCCAGACTAGCACATGTTCATGCCATAAAATCATGTGTAGCGGTGTAGCCGCTTACAGTCTAACATCTTCTTTCCTACACATTTCATATGTAATTATATATTTCATGTCTTAATATACCTCATAAGATCAATCATGTATGCTAGATTATACTCTTATGAGTCTTATCGCTGAATATTATAGATGTCTCCAACGGTCTAACCTCAATAGTAATGAACTTTCTTATATATCTCTTGGAAACAGCAGTTTCTCATTGAGTGCTTCTTAAAGTTCATGCTAAAAACAAGTGACACAATAATAATGAGATCTCTCTCCCTCTTTTTTTTTTTAATTTCTGGTATATCATCCAGCTGTTTATGTATGCAGTATCAGTTTCCGTTCCCTCCCCTTCAACCCACACCTCTACATTATGTTTCTACTGCCTCCCCTTTGCCGTGTTCTTATGGGTTATCTTTGCTGTAATAGGCCCATTGTTCGAGATTTGGTGGATGCTGTCATAACAGTAGAAGAAAAGGAAATCGTAGAAGCTGTGAAACTTTGCTATGAAATTCTAAAGGTAGCAGTAGAGCCCAGCGGAGCCATAGGTCTTGCTGCTGTTCTGTCTGATAGCTTTCAGCAAAATCCTTTGTGGGCAAATTGCAAGAATGTAGCTATCATAGTTTCTGGAGGTAATGTTGATTTGGATGTGCTCTGGGAGGCACTGAGCAAATGATAGGTGATGGATGTAATCCTGGAGACATGTCTACATTTTGTACATGTTTTAGTTAACCAATCGTTTAATCTTTGTGCAAGGATAATGCGTAGTAGCATAGGAAATATAAAATTGACGCTGTTTAATGTTTGGCGTGAAGACTAAATTTAGTCATTTCTCCTGAATGTAAAGGAAAGAGTTTGTGTATGATGCTTCTCCACAGAAGCAGACGTCAAAAGCGTGTTTATATACTTCTATGAGCCTTTAAGCACTTTCATATGGGAAGTGTAACAAGTTTGTGAAATAAATCGAGACACATCCTTCCTATAAAGTTTTCCACTTCTGTAAACGCTCGGTATACTGGTGATCTTTCAATACAATGCATTCCTAACAAAGGATTTGTACTGTACAGGTAAAAACATAAATGAAAAAAATTGTTCACAATAAAAGATGCTAATAGTACGGGGTAATAACATCTCGTATCTGAGTATGTTCAATGTAGTAGGCATGCCCATGAAAACTCTTCAATTGAGGATTCATAGACCCTCCATCGACTAATCGTGGTAAATCACCATAGCCAAACCTCCTTGTGCTTTCCTATCCAAATCAACCTCGTACATCAAATGTACTGGTTCTTATAGTTAAGCGTGAAGCCCTACTCGTGACAAATTTCTCGCAACTTTGCACATTAATCCTCAGTTGTAAGATTACAAAGACACAGACTAGTGTTAATTCAATTACAGTATACTTTACCCCATTACCCGTGCTGAGGTTTTTTAACAACTTATCCTTGAAAGTTTTGGTTAGTCGCATCTATTCTTTTATTTGTGAAGTAAGCCATGAACTTTGCAGCAATAATACCCAAATCAACTTTGAAAAATGCTTCAAGTGCAAGCAAGAGGAGCACAGTAATCACTTTACAAAAATCAATCCACATCAGTCTAAATTCGATGCAAGAGATACAAAACCAACTCTTACGAGTTACGAACGAGGTGCAGCAAGCAGGTGAGAGCTCTGCACAAGATTTTCAATAACATTGCTTCATGATACTACCAAATATCAAAATGTCATCAACCATGACACTATAAGTTCACCAAAATTAAACCAAATTCTGTAGCCACAAATACCACAAAACAGTACACAGATTACATCTGATCTAAGACAAAAGGTAAAAACGAATTAAAATACTTAAGGCTCTTGCGATGAATTGTATGTATACCACAAGTAGACAAGCTGTCTCAAACTCTAAAATAGCACAAACTCTAGTCCTGGTATTCCTCCTCTTCTTCGTATTCATCGTCATCGGCAGTTGCATCCTGGTATTGCTGATACTCAGAGACTAAGTCGTTCATGTTACTCTCTGCTTCAGTAAACTCCATCTCATCCATCCCTTCACCAGTGTACCAATGCAAGAAAGCCTTCCTGCGGAACATGGCAGTGAACTGCTCACTCACACGACGGAACATCTCCTGAATAGAAGTCGAGTTCCCAATGAATGTCGAGGCCATCTTCAAGCCTGTAGGTGGGATGTCACAGACAGTGGACTTGACATTGTTTGGAATCCACTCCACAAAATAGGATGAGTTCTTGTTCTGTACATGGATCATCTGCTCATCCACCTCCTTTGTGCTCATCTTTCCACGGAACATGGCAGATGCAGTGAGATATCTGCCATGCCGAGGGTCAGCAGCACACATCATGTTTTTGGCATCCCACATTTGTTGGGTAAGTTCAGGGACAGTGAGAGCACGGTACTGCTGGGATCCACGAGATGTAAGGGGTGCAAACCCAACCATGAAGAAGTGTAGACGGGGAAAAGGTATGAGGTTGACAGCAAGCTTCCTAAGATCAGAGTTTAGCTGTCCAGGGAAGCGAAGGCAGCAAGTAACTCCACTCATTGTAGCAGAGATAAGATGGTTCAGGTCACCAACTGAATGATTAAGGTATTTTACAAGTCAGTAGACCAAAAAAAAAAAAGTAAGATGCTTACAAAACATTCTAACTTGTTTAAAAAAGGAAACAAAAAAGACTGCAACAATCCTAGCATATGATTAGACATTCAGTTTTAAGATAAAGATACTATGGATAATCATTACCCAAATAACTTTTAAAATGAGAAAGTACTACATTGGTAAATGCTTCTCTCCTTCTCAGAGGATTAACAGCCTCCTCTATTCATAGAGTGACGGCCTTAAACTAATGAGGATTATGCCAATTAGCTGCAACATGATAGCATTTCGCCTCTCACGTGTTTTACAACCCTTCTCACAAGTTTACAACTACCATGGAAAATAAAATATGAACAGTCAAAGCTCACAAGTGAGACAAAACAGATAATCATATTATATAAACTTAATTAAACTAATGTAACGTTTCCCATAAAAAAAAAAAAAAAAAATAAAATAAAATAAAAAAAATAAAAAATTACAACTAAGGCATGTAAGTCACATGAATGTCCATTGTCCATATAGTTGGTATGCCTTAGAGGATCAATAGAATAATCAATGTCAAGTCCTAAAGTCATAAACATAAATTAAACTAACAATACAAAATAGCAGCCCCAGGGCCCTAGCAGATAACTTCATGCATAAACCAACTGATATGATGCTACCAGTCCTACCAACAAACTATTGATATTATTTTCTACTATAATTGGAGTGCCCACCAAAGCCCATGTGATATAACAACTGTAAAACATACAAACATCGAGTGACAATGATGTTTGGATCCTATCCACAACCACCATATAGTCATACTAAACGAAAACGATATTATCTTAATTTGTCCCATCTCTTTTCCAAGTGAAGAGGCTGAAAAACCCTCTTTCTTTAACCTTACTCCATTTAATTGGATACACATTATGAGATTTATGACAACGATACACACAACACATCATGTGCGATGGACATCAACAATCTAAAGCTACAAATCCATCAACCTAATATTTTAAAACACAATAATACTTCAAGGTAGTTGCAAACCATTGAATATTAGTGACAGCTTGACAGGATTTAGCATCCAAGTTAGTAAGTCCTGGGAAATAGAAGATAACTAACTAACTTCAGTCAATTACAAGTCACAAGAAGTCTAACAAGTATATTTTAAAAACGACAAGACCAGATTAGGAGAAAGGACAATGTGGCTTACAGCTAGGAGTCGTAAGCTTCAAAGTGCGGAAGCATATATCGTATAGGGCCTCATTATCAAGCACCATACACTCATCAGCATTCTCAACGAGCTGGTGAACGGATAGTGTAGCATTGTAGGGTTCAACCACAGTGTCGGACACCTTAGGAGATGGGAAGACTGAAAAGGTTAGCATCATTCGGTCTGGATACTCTTCTCTGATCTTGGATATCAAGAGGGTACCCATACCTGATCCAGTACCTCCTCCTAATGAATGACATACTTGAAACCCTGCATTTGACAAACAGAACTATAATCTAAATCAACAACAAAATCAAACAGAACAATAACACAAACCCATTTAAATTCCGTCCACGGCAAAATCTGAGCAATACTTTTGAAACAATACTCGGAATTGATAACCAATCTCCAACATAACAGCAAAATCCGACTAGACTACTTTTGAAACTCTTCTCAAACTAAAATGTATTAGTTTCATACATAAGTCTTAGAGTTAAGGATCCAATTAAGTGGTAATTGGTAAAATGAAGAGTTCAAGTAACATTGGTTGACTAAGATTGAAATCATAATTTTGATTACATTTCTTTAAGACAATATCACACAATAATTCATTTGACTCAACAATTTTCAACAGAAACAAAATCATCATATTAACACCAAAATTAAATTTAAAAAAAAATAAAAAAATAATCAAAAGTTCATTTTTTTCGTTTTTTCTGGGTTATTTTTTCCGAATATCACAAACAAAAAACAGTCATGACTTGATCAAACATTTTCACAATTTTCCCTACTTAATATTTACTACAACCACAAAATTCCCAGAAAAGAAGAATAACAACTTTTAAAAAAACTTTCAGAAACTTTTTACAACAATCACAAATCATCAAACAATTCTACATAATCCGATCAAACAAAAGGGTTAATCACATTAAACAAACCCTAAAAAACCCCAGAAACAAAAAATCAAAGGGAGGAGAGAGAAAAACTGTTAAAAACCTTGAAGACAGTCAGAATTCTCAGCTTCCTTACGAACAACATCAAGAACAGAGTCAACAAGTTCAGCACCTTCAGTATAATGACCTTTAGCCCAGTTATTCCCAGCCCCAGATTGGCCGAACACAAAATTATCCGGTCGGAAAATCTGACCGTACGGTCCAGACCGTACACTATCCATAGTACCCGGTTCAAGATCCACCAAAACAGCCCGAGGAACAAACCGACCACAACTCGCTTCGTTATAGTAAACATTAACTCGTTCGAACTGGATGTCCGACTCACCGTGGTACCGCCCTGTCGGGTCGATTCCGTGTTCGGCGCAAACTACTTCCCAGAATTTGGCTCCGATTTGGTTCCCACATTGACCAGCTTGAATGTGGAGGATTTCTCTCATTTTGGATTTTCCGACGTTCTTTGGTGGGAAAAAAGCGACGGAAATGGGAGAGAAAGTGTGAGGGGGTTCACTTTATTTTTGGGGAAATGAGGGGGTTTTATAGAAAGAGGGAATTTTTATTTGAGTTTTTAAATTGTTTTGGATTTTTGGGGTGGGTTTGAGTGTGGTAGGGTGTATGATTGTATGGTAAGTTTGTTATGTATGCCGGGATTGACGGCGGACGGCGGTTGCGTTACTACAAAGATAGATGATCACGTGATAGTGGAGAGTGCGATCACGTGAAGAAGCATACTTCACTAATTATTGTAGTTATTGGAATTATTGGTTTAAAATCCCAATTTTAACCAATTGTCTTTAAATAGTGGGAAATTTCCTTTGGTATTCATAAGTTTTTAAATTTTCTCAATGATGAATAGCAAAGAACTTAATTATCTTTGGTAATCATAAATCACTATAATAAATTATTCATAACATTAACGATATACTTTGATCAAAATAGTTAATTAGGGTTAAGTTTTTTTTTTATTTTTTTAAGGAAAATTTGTCAATTGCAGTCATTTAAAGTTTGTATTTTGTAAATTGCAGTCATTTAAAGTTTGTATTTTGTAAATTGCAGCCATTTAAAGTTTGTATTTTGTAAATTGCAGCCATTTAAAAAAAAAATGTAAATTACAGCCCAAAAGTACTAAAAAATTAAAATT